AAAGCACATTCAGCGTTTCACCCGCCCTTTGCGGACTGGGCAACTGGGTGCTTTCAAGAGGGATTTGGAAGCGTACCCGGAGCCATGAACAATGCAAAAGTGCCTCGTTACCAGCAACCACGTGCGAGCCTGTCCCTAGTAGGGATGGTAGTGGGACCTTCTGCATCCGCACTCAGAGGGGAAAGCTGTGAAAGAGCAAGAGCAGCAGCCTGACCCGCGTGCTGGAGAACACAGTGGCACCGTTGGAGAAGCTGTCTATACTAAGCACGTCCAGGCTGGTCTCCGGCATGGTCCTTTTGGGGGATGGCAGGGCGTGTGCTGACGCGAATCGAGGGGGAAAGGGCTGTGATGAACAACGGGGCTGTGAATGCAGAAACATTGGAATGGCCACTGGAAAAAGCCCAATCGAATTCATCCCTCAGCGCTCGCTCCTGGAAATGTGGCGAGGCTACGGCCAGGCCTGCGGGGAGCTACGGCGGGAAAAGCGTGTGGCCAGACAGCTAGCACTCCCGCATCGCCCCGTGACTGGACTGAACCACAAGCTGTTCCTGAAAATGCAGCAGCATTCTCCTCTTGCAGAGTTTGATCTGAGGCAGCTGTTTGACCCACTGTCAGCGTCCCAGTGCCTTCGGCCTGTTGCTCCGTTATGCGCTCTTTGTAATGCCTGGCCGATGCCTATTGCTGGGCCTTGTGGCCACGAGGGGGCGTGGGCAGACTGTGGAATGAGGCCATGTAGGGCTGTCTAGTACTGGCTCGCTGGAGTGGGCAAGGGCCAGAGCAGGGGCGCAGACGCACTGCGTGTGTGGCCGGACTATGGAGGGGGTCACGGCTCAGGAAGCTGCTATGGCCCCAGGGCCTGCCTGCCGTGGGCCCGCTGCAGGCTCTGTGCTTGTGTGGCCCGTGGAACTGGTCATGTGTGGAAAGCTACTGGTGTGCCTCAGGCAGGCCCTGCGGCTCACACCTCCGGCGCGGCACCGGCACATGCAGCTCTAGAGCCAGGGGGAGGGCCACAGGAGGGGGTTTCTGTCACTGAAGGTGCCCCCTCCTCCAACAGACGCATTCGGCCATCGGACTGGCTGTGACTGTGCCGTCCCCACCCCGGCAGCCCCCAGGAACTAGAGCCATTTGCACGGCAAGAGAAGAAATCCCCTGGAACACATGCAGTGCGAGCTGGCCACCCGACCGGGCCTACAGATTGGGCATGGGTGCTGCGTGGCAGCACGGAGAATCCGCTCCCGGTGCCCGGCCCCCGGCCCCGGCGACTCTGGCGCTAGGTTTGGGTTGGGAAGGAGCCGACTGGGATCCTGGTTCTGTCGCCTCTTCCCTGTAGCGTGAGGGGCAGGGGCCTGCTGACGCCATCTTGGCAAGTTCCTCCCAATCCCCTGGCAGGGGCTGCGGCTTCCCACTGTGGCACTTCAGTGCCTCCTGCTTCCTGCCTGGGCCCTGGGGTGTGAGCTGCCTTAGGGCTTGTCTTCACTGTGCCCGGGACCGGCCATGCAGCCTCGTCCACGGATCGTAT